CAATATTATTGATTATATTCCCTGTACCGTGCTTTATATCCTGTGACTATCCTGTAACTACCAATTTGCAGTTATAATCCCTCCACCTTTTCCCCCCAGCCTCCCACCCTCTCCCATCTGGCAACTTCCTGCACATTCTTCTTTGTGGGAAAGTGTCCCAAAGCTCGGGACACGGGCCGTGTCTGGGGTTATCAAGGCAGCTGACAGGATGTCAGGTGATGAATCCATTTGGCAGGCAGTGGCCTATTTGTCTGATTTGAATTTCATCTTCCCCAAGAAAATTACTCGGATTTCTGCTGTGCCAAGGCACCTGTTTATTCAAACAGCCTGCTCCTCCCTGCCAGCTTTCGCAGAGCAGGCTGGCCCTGCCGGGCTCCTTCCCAGAGGTAGGAGTGGCAGGAGGCAGTCTGCCAGCCTCTCCCTGGGAGCCATTCAGCTCCAGCTCCGCAGTGAAGGAGAACAAAGGACACGGTTGCTGTAATCCTCCCTGGGCCAGAGAAATATTGGGGCAGCTCAGACCGGTGCTAAGAACGCAGACGCATGCCGGTAGGTGGGAGGGCGAGGGGAGGAAATGAAAGAGAAAGCGGCATTCTTGTGGATCAAGTGCTCAGATTATTTTTGCTGCTGAGACCTCTTATGACAAAGATACATGCAGCTAAGCATCGCCTTTTTAGGTCACTCACGGCCCGTTTCTGAAGAGCCCGAGCTGCACGATTACGTGGATGATGTTTAATTGAACTTTTATTGGGCTTGCTCCTATATCCTCATAAAATACCATCACTGACAAACAACGTGAAGAATGTTAGTATCTGAACGAAAAACAAAATCTTCAGGTTTTCCGTGTAAAAAGAAAAAAAAATAGATTAGATGATAGATCTGTCTGAACCCTGAGATAATTAGATTTCGTCTTAGTACCTTTACCATATCACGTTCTGTAACTGCACAACAGTAACAACGATTTCATTTTCCTGCTGACTTGAGCATTGCAGGTGGGGCGACGCCTGGTGACAGCACACACCCGCCGCTGGACAATTTCAGCGACGCCCCGTGGGTCCCTTTGCTCTATAATGATCTGGTGTCGGGGCCTGGCACCAGAAATCGCCTGAAAGGAGAAAAATGGGCCGATCTGCGGGCCGTCTTCAGTGAATCGATGTAATGAGCCTCCGTTGCACGCAGAGATGAGAATTCTAATGTGTTCCTAAGTGGCCTCTGGATGGTGCGTTTCAGCATCTCGGCTTACCGGTGTTGCTGCGGTGACAGTCAGAACATTAGATGTGTTACTTATCCACGTCCACCATTGTGGGGGTTTGTGACTCAGCTTCATATCAGGTTTAAAAAGACATTCATATGCTGCAGATAAAAACAGCACTGATGGAGGACCCCATAACAGGAATTAGGAGGCGCTGCCATCCAGAGGGGCAATGCAGAAGGCTTGTAAAAACTGAGATGTCTTAGCTTATTATCGAGAGAATCCTTTCATGAAAACGAAATGCATTTGAAATGATGATCTGTTAGCAACGAGACGTACCAAATGGGAAGGGGAAAAAATGACCAAACTCATATACTGAAGTGTAGAGCAGATAATGATGTAGAGAATTTCAGGTTGCCATGGAGACGTTCTCTGGCTCATTGGCTAGGTTGCTGCCATCAGAAGCCACCACTCTCTTCTAGCGCAGAATGAATTCAGTGCTATTCCGGGGAATTCATTTTCTTTCTCCCCTGTGCCTCAAACTGCAGGGTGGAAGGATCAAAGAGGCCACAGCGTAGGCCCCGCTGAAATGGACCAGCTGCCAAGTTGTGTGAATGCGATGACTGTGTGGCCCAGTGCAGCTCGGAAGAGAACTGAATGCCCAGAAGGGTAGTGTAAACAAGAGGCAGTGCCTCAGATTAGGAAAGAAAGACGTGAGGGTGGACCAGAGTAACCAAGAAGGCCTCGCGGCAGGAAAATCTGAGGGATGGGTGATATTTGGCTCATAGTAGCACTCAGTGAAGGAGCAGAGAGAATATTCCAGAAAGGAGAAAAAGTGTGAGCAGAGCTTCTGAGGCAGGGATGACATGGTAACAAGACAGTGCGGAGACGACCCCTACGGTTGGAGGCCTTGGTGAGGCAGCGGGTGAGATGCCTGGAGGCCTGAGCTGAGAGCACAGGGGCACTGGAGAGGGGCTGGAGGTCTGTGACAGGCTGGTGAGGTAAGGAAAGCCGTATTTCACAAATATCGATCAGGACTGAAGTCCAGGGTAGACTGGAGGGGAGTGAAACTGTAACCCAGGAGAGGTGCTGGGAGCCTAGATTTCTGTGGTGGATGTTTCCTTGAGAAAAGAAAGGGGCGTTTATTTACAAGAAAGCATCCATGGCATTCATAACGGGAGAAACTGAGGGGCATACTTGGACTCCTCTTCTGAGCAAATGGGCCCTGGGGCCACCTCGGAAGCTCAGGAGTCTGATCTGGTTTGGCTGGCAGCGGGGTTTGGTTTTCTTCTTCGCCACGTGAGACAAAGGGAAAACCAAACAACAATGCAGAGGATCTTTTTGGTCAGTGAAACTGCACTGTAGGAATCTCTAATGGTGGATAAATGTCATTCAGCATTTATCAAATCCTATAGGATACACAACGTTCAGAGTGAATCCTAGAGTGCACTGGGGGCTTTGGGTTCGTTGATTGTAACGAATGTTCCACTCTTGTGGGGGTGCTGAGAGTGAAGGGATGCTGACAGTGGGTTGTGAGGCAGCAGATGCCTGGGGACCCTTTGTGCTTTCTCCTTCCTGTCTACCTAAACTCGCTCTAAAAAAATAAAGTCAGTTCATTAAAAACCAACAAAAATCAGGTAAATTGCCAGAATTGGAATCAAAGACCTAACTGACAGCCAACATGTGTTCAAAGGTTGATATGGGGACAAAGAATTTTGGAAAACAGCCATGTAAAGGCCACTAGAGCCATTGAAATAGAACAAGTATGGGCATCTAGGAAATGAACTGGAGAAACCAGTCTGCAGGCCCAGGGCCTTCAATGAAGGGACTTGCAGGGCAGTGAAGACCCGCCAAGATGGATGGGAGTTTGCAGCCTGAGTGACAGGAGGAATGGTGAAGGGAAGATGAGCCAAAAACGGAAGCTTTATTTTGCGTTAAGGAAACCCTGTAACTGTGTTCCTCATTTCTTTGTTGAAGTTGAATATTTCCAGTGTGATACCACAGTCCTGACAATATTTATGCTTCAGTGATTTGTGACCAGTTTGTTTCTTTGGTTCATTGATTGATTGATTGATTGATTAAAACCATTAAAATGAGGAGAATATTTTTGGATTGCAGTGGTATAGGCAACATGATATTCATGATTTTTCTAAGCATATTGACTTTTTTGGATAAAAGCATATCTGACCACCTAATATTGCAGTGGGGAAAAAAGTCCCATTAGAATCTGAAAGAGACAGTTCAGAATAAGCATGTAAAACAGGTTAAACAGTGGACGGCAAACCACATGCGCTCTTTGGCCCCTTGAGTGTGGTTCTTCCACAAAATACCACAAACCCTAATTAAGTTAATAACAATGTACCTACCTATATAGTTTAAGTTTAAAAAATATGGCTCTCAAAAGAAATTGCAATTGTTGTACTATTGATATTTGGCTCTGTTGACTGAATTTGCCGACCACTGGGTTAAACAGTCCGTGGTTCATATCACTACCTACGTCTTATCGCTTTCGGGGAGTCCTGGCTTGTATTGGCTATCCATGAGTAAGTCAAGTTTATTGACTACATAAAGTTTAGGCTGATGTCACCTAAAATATGCAGATGTGTAAAAACTATCAGACTTCACATTTAAAGGTGCAGTGTGATGAGTTCCTTAATGTAACTTAAAGTTACAGGCACACTCGGATCAACCTCTGGATGAAGGACCTCCGTCTCCTGGCAGAAACAGTGCTGGCCGGGGTGTTGCTTTAATAATGCGTGGCTGCTGTTCATGTTTACTAGCCAGCTAACCAGAGCTGTGGAGAACCAGGCCACGATTACACTATTACAAGGGAGACATCGTTTTACAGTTAACTTCATTATGACTGGAATGGAATCACACAGCATTACCTCTTTTCATTTCTCACTGCCAAGCTTTAAAATCTATACTAATAAAAGGGTAATATGCTAATTAGACTGGTCTACCAGACATCTTCCAGACGTTCAGCTTCCTTCCTGACAAAGCCAAGGTTGCGGGGGCTGAGGCAGAGGCTGTTGGGAGCAATCAGGCCAGCAGGGGAGGGCAGTTGAGGGCAATCAGGCTGCAGGAGAGGGCAGTTGGGGGCAATGAAGCCAACAGGGGAGCAGTTAGGTGGCCATCAGGCTGCCAGGCAGAGGCGGTTAGGGGTGATCAGGCAGGCAGGCAGGCAGGTGAGCGGTTAGGAGCCAGTGGTCCTAGATTGTGAGAAGGATGTCCGACTGCCAGTTTATGCCCAATCCTGCAGGGCCTAAACTGGAAGTCGGACATCCCCTGAGGGGTCCCAGGTTGGAGAGGGTGCAGGCAGGGCTGAAGCACATATACACTCCCATGCATGGATTTCATGCACCAGGCCTCTAGTCATTTCTAGGTACATATAACTCTACCTTTTATACCTGTAAATGACACAGATTTTCATAAGGATACATACCTATACTCACCCATACAATTATTATGAGGTATTTTGCAATCTTTACATTAAAAAGCCATTGTTTCATGTAAATATCACAAAACAAGTTTTTTACTTGTTTTCTTAACTATGCCATAAAAAATCTGATTCAAAGCAGGCATTGGGGAGCCATGTTAAAATCACTGTAAATGCAGATGATCGGCATATACTGTGTTTTGAATTGCTAACTTAAACGAAATATAATTTTGCTACTTTCCATACGGGTGGTAATTTGGAAATGTGAAAAATACCTGATTCCCTATGAAGCAGAGTGTTTAAATTGTGGTTAAAATTTGAGCAAAAGGAATATGCTTCACAATGGTGACACTTGGCATCGTCCTCTCCTAGGCCGCGCAGTGCCGATTATTTTATGCAAGAAGCTAAGCGGATGAAGCACAAAGCAGATGCAATGGTAAGACCCTTCTCATTCCAGATACGTCTTTCCAAATGATCATGGGGGCAATGTAGCTGGGTAATTATAAAATCTATTACAAGGATGGCCGAGTCTGTTAAATGGAGAAATGTTTATATAATCAAGCACTCATCACCCAATAAGTATGACTTCAACCAATAATGTCTGACTGGGAGAAAGCTCTGGAGAAATGAATATTTTATTTTAGTCCTACGTTTTGAATAGTAACTAGAGGTAATGAAGTCAGTGGGTAGCATTTTTTCCCTTTAAAAATAAAATCTAAGTTTGCATTTTTCTGTCATATTAGCCTGGCCAGCACTTGGCGTGGTCCCAGGATCTAATCCCTTTTCAAAAATGAATACCTCTCTGAAACTGTTCAGCAGAAACTGTTACAATGCACATAAGCCTCTGGAGTCACCATGACTTGGTGTTTATAACAAATAATGTTTCTTACCTGGATAATCTCCTGTTTTGGAAAGCTTGAAGCTGTTTAGGCATTAGACTTTTTAAAAAACATATGTGTTTTGTTTTTTTCTAAAAGCGATCATGTGGTGATTGCATCTTGAGGCCTATGCCAAAGGGACTCTCTCCTCAGGGAATGCCGGTTCGGTTCCCGCCAGCTTGTATAACGGAGGCTGGGGAGCTGGAGATGGCAGAAGCATTTCAGATGGCCTTAGCGTCTTATCCCAGTGTGAAGATGTCCAACCCGTACAGCGCTCCTCTCCCACTGCTACCGATGCTGCCCATCAAATGTTCACTTGTGTGACTATCCCGGCTGGGTTCACAGTGCAGGCACAGAGCCAGGGTGTCAGAGAGCAGAGGGGTGCAGTTCTTGCCCTCACACTCCCACAGGCTGATGGAGGCTTCCGGTCCCCTGAGGAGCGGAGACATGCTGTTGGAGAAGAGCAGCGAACCCTACAGCAGAATGAAAAGTTCTGCCTGAATCACCAGGGTTACTAGGATGCTTCACTCAGTGTCACCCTGTCCCACCCGACACAGCTTCAGCCAGCAGGCTGTGTACTTACAGAACCGCACACTCACACGCACACAGCTCGCACATACCTCCACACTCCCTCTCACGCACTCACACTTTCAGCATGTCCTCAAACCCTTTCCTTCCCACAGGTATTTCCAGGTCTCCTCCCCCAGGCCTCCCGCCTCTGCAGCCCCATCACCTGCCCCTCCTCCATCCCATGTGCATTGGACTCGTTCCTCTGCATTGCGAGTCACTCACAGGCTGCCTTGCACGGTGAACTGTCGTGTGGGTACCCATTTTTTCTCTCTGATTGTATTATCTGTTCTTGGAAGGAACTTGTGTGCATCAAGTGCGCATAGGAAAGAACTGGGTGCTTCAGGAAAGTATTTAAATACTTAATGTTGAAATGGCTTCTTTAATCTGAAAGTGTTGCCAAGAAATATTGCTCAATAGCCTGTTAGGGTTATAAGCTGTTTAAAAATTTGATTTGCTAATGAGGGAGTATTTAGCTCTACATTTCTGTTTTCTAAGGCATCATTATCAATGAGAAATTTTTTAGAGGCAACACTTATATTAGTAATTAGAGTATTTGTGTAATTCTGTTTTGATTCACAAATGAATACTGGAGATATTATGCAATTCAAACTTAAAACATGTAATTATCTACAGAGTGTAGCAAAGTATGGAACCAGGAACTTGATGTGTAAATTTATATTTAATATTAATAGAATCTAAGAATATAAAGCACATTCTTGCTATTGTGGGGAAGGATTAAACATCAACTTAGACAACCTCCTATAATCCAAAAAAGACTCTTTATTAAATATAACTCTGTATTCCATTTTAGCTAAACTGAAATATTGCCTTGAGTTTTATCCCCTCTCCTCACTCTCTTCCCTGACTGAGGTCCTGACTATTAAAGAAATAACTACACACACACACTAGGAGGAAGGCATGGAAAGGGAAATGTTAGATAATGTAAAATACAAAGGCACATGTTTATGCTGTAAATCATCAAAGTTGAAGTATACTAAAAAGAGTATGAAAATTCTTGTAAGGAATCACACCCACCAGCTTCGCTGTGTATTTAGCACAGAATGGAGGAACAAGGAATGTAGCTGCCACGCCCTTAGGGGTTGAAAGAGGAATGACCATGAAGTTCTGAGCGGTTCTGATTGGCAGTTGTTGCATGGATTTGGTACGATTCTGTCTGTAACCATTCACTCATTTACCCTAAAATAGTGGCAATTTATGAAGATAACTAGAGGAGGAAGTGCCCCCCTTTTTTTTCCCTCTCTCAGTTCCATTCACAGGATTTCTCAAATGAGGTGTATAGATTGTGTGACAATACTGTTTAAAACCTGTACTTACGGGAGACACTGTGTTAACTGTTGAACAGGTGGAAAAGTTTGGAAAGGCTTTGAACTACGCCGAAGCAGCCTTGTCATTCATTGAGTGTGGAAATGCAATGGAACAGGGCCCAATGGAATCCAAATCCCCGTACACGATGTATTCGGAAACAGTGGAACTCATCAGGTGAGTGCTGTGTGTTCTCATTGGGCGGGTGGGGTCGAGGAGTGAGGATTGTGTGAGTGCTCTGAATACAAAGGAGAAAGTCAACCTGCAGTATCAGCTACTGAGAACCTTTGTTCGCCTCTGAAAGTGAGAATGTAAGCTTTTGCCTCCCCTGCTTCCTTTGCCCTCGTGATGAATCAGGCAGGGCTTCTCCTATGACTCCTTATTCATAATTCACTTATGCATAGTTCACCCAGCTAGGAAGTAGCAAATTTTTAACTCACTTGACATCTATACTGCTTTTTTTAAAACTATGATTCATATTAGTGTAATCTCAATTCTAACTCCATCAATAATGATTCAGAAGTATTTAATGAAAGGAAAGCAGATTTGGGGGATTTTAGGGAAGGAAATGTCTCCTATGACTTAATATCTCAGAGTGTCCTGGCGTTGTCCTAGTGCAGTGGTCGGCAAACTGTGGCTCGCGAGCCGTGGTTTGCCGTTCTGTTGACTAATGAGTTTGCCGACCACTGTCCTAGTGTAAGAGTTAGATGTGCGCATCATTCCCGACCTGGGTTAAGGCATGTCATGTGAGCAAACAAAGTTTCTGATGGGGGCAGATGAAGAGGTGGGTGGGAGACGTTTCTTTTCCATGATGAAGACCCGGAAAGGCACATCCTTATCCTCTCATTAATGAATCAATAGGGAATTTCATCTCTTAACCCTACTGATAAACTTTGTCATATGATTTGTCTTTAGCCAATTCAGCTTCTTTGGATAATGTCTAATACCTTTCATATGAAATAATTCTTTCCAAAACTAACAGAAATAAAAATCTCACTTGATGGGCTTAGTAGTACAGTGATGATGACAGAGGATAGAATCAACAGAAATGGCATTTACCCAATCTAAGTAACAGAAAGAAAATAGACTGGGGAAAATGTATAGTGCCTCAAACACAGTGACCGAAGATCCACGTATGTATCATTGGAGTCCCGGAAGGAAAGGAAGACAGCAAGACTGAAGAGTTTTGAAGATAGAATAGCTGAAACTTGCCAAATTGGGCAAAATATATAAACGTACAAGCTCAAGAAGCTGAGAAAAACCCAAATAGGATAAACTCTAAGAAATGCATATGAAGACACATCGTAACTACATTTCTGAATACTAAAAACAAAGAAAAAGAAATCTTGAAGGCAACCAGAGAGAAATGACATGTTACTGCAGGGGAGCACCAATTCAAATGACAGCTGACTTTGCATCTGAAACCATAGAAGCCAAAAACAGAGTGTGCTGAAAGGGAAAAAATCTAACAAACAGTGAATTCTAGATTAAGTGAAACTATTTTTCAGGAATGAAGAGGAAATAAATATATTATCTGACTAAGAGAAACCCAGCTTTGCAGATTAGCTAGAGGAAGTCCCTCAAACAGAAAGAAAATGACAAATAAAAAGGAATCTTGGAGCATTAGGAAAGAACAAAGAACAACTGAAGAAGATATGTTCAATAAACTATCCTCATGAGTTTTATAAATCATATGTGTTGATTGAAACAAAAAGTGTCCACCATCTGATACTCAAGACAATGTTACTTAAAAGTGGAGAAAGGAAAGGGACCTAAATAGAAGTAAGGGTTCCATACTTCACCCAAAGTGGAGAATGTTGATACCAGTAAATTGTGATGCCCTATGTGTATATTGTAAAATCCACAGCAGCCACTGTGAAAACTGTGCAAAGAGATACACGTGAAAACACTACAAATCTGCATGTTGTACAGATGATATAATAATATCATTTCTTGAACAATTTACAGCAAGCTAGCTCATTATGTCAAGAGCTTTCCAAATACTATCTCAATTAATTCTTGCAACAGTCCTATGTCATTAGCAATAGGATAATGACATGGATGCATAAGAACATGGAGGTTTAAAAATACTAGTTTATCTACATTCTCACAACTAATAATTGTCTGACATGATTTGAACCCAGGACACCCTGACCATTTTACATAATACTTCAGCTCTCTCAAAGAGTCTGCAAGTGACTTGGTATGTTTTTGGAGAGATGGCCAGAATCCCAAGAAATAAATGTGATTAACTATTTAAGTTAATAAAAGCCACTAATTACACACCAGGACACTTACACTGCTGTCAGCGTAAACATTGTCACAAGGAAAAGGAGGCAAAGCCAGGCATTTATCTAAGTGTAGGAATGAACTTTTTTTCTGGAGATTGGCCCAGAAGAATTGAGCTTTGCCGCCATCTTGTCAGCCACTTAGCTGTAAATCAAAATTTGTAAAAATGAATGTGTCACCATATATGTGGAATGCTTGAACTGGTGTCACTCTTAACCATCTGTAGCATTTGAATTTGTATCACCAAAGTGCAGAAAGTAACTAGTGGTTATAAAGATCATTTTGTTCTAAGCATCACAGTACTAAAAAGCTGCAGGAAAATGAGGCGACATCAGGTAGCTTTGAAGAAAGAATTATCTGCAAGCAGTATGAAAATCTAAGTGTTAGGCAGAGAGAACTTCCACCGTAGAAGATGTTCTGTTGTTAATAAAAAAGTTATTTTTTTTTAATTTGTTTGGATGGGACCCAAGGTGGCTGTGGATAAGTAGAATCTACACTTAACCCATCCCAGAACCAAACTGGAGTTACATCTAAATTATAGAACAATCATCCTGAATAACCAACTGGAGACAAGCTGAAGAGAAGTATTATACCCAAGGAATTACAGCAGCCACATCGAGACTGGTAGGAACGAAAGGGATGGCCCCATTCTCATGGGTGGCATCTGAGATCCCAGGGGGACATCTCAGCTACAGAGGTTCCCTCTGAGGAGTGTGGGGTCTCAGGCCAGGCTCCCCACACCAGAGCATCAGAGCTGGGTACAGGCGCCCTCAGATCTTGGGCTGTAAATATCAGCAGGAATTCTGTCCACCAGGGAGAGGCCTCCCTCTTAAAGAGCCAGCAAACAAATTCGTGTTCACAGCAACTCATCCTGGGCTCCGGCAGAGTGGACTTGAGTTGTTTCAGGAGAGACTGGGCTTTGTGATGCTGGGGAGAGAGCGAAAGGGACAGCTGTCAGGGTTCCTGTGCTGAGTCCCTCTCCCTCACCCTAGATGCCATCTCTCTTTTGGCAGAGCACTCCCCTCCTTGTGACATGAACCTGGTAAATGCAATAGCCCCACCCCCCAGAATCCCTGTCTCTGACCGGGTGGAGCTCACACCCTGCTAAGGAGTCAGAAGCCTGAACAAGAGCATAGAGATCCAGGCAGACTCGGTGTCAGTGACTGTGTTGGGTGGCACTAGAGTGGGACCACTCCTTCCTCCTTCCCCCAGGCCTGGCCAGCACTCCCTCACATGGGAGATCCCCTAGTCCCACCTTCCATCTCACAGAAGCCCTAATGCTGAGCTCCTGGCAGAATCTGGGACATCCTGGGTTGTGTCTCTAGAACAGGGTTCTCTCTTATGCCTGACCAGTCAAGAGCCCTCCTTCACAGGGCCAAACCGTGGGCAGTGGGGCCTGATAAACCCTCCTGGCCTCACCCTGAAAGTTGTCTAAGACCCTGCTTTACCACAAAGGTTTGTAGTGGCCCAGCAGATGGAAGCTAGACTTGGTATACCCTAGGACTTTTGCTGAGTGGCCGCAGACCCAACACTGGCACTATGATTGAACATGTTATCCATCTAGTGAACACCGTTCACACCTGGTGACTCACTGAGAACCTACCTATTAAACCCAAGTACCATCAGAGGCTCTTTCAGTGACTGAGCCTAACAGGCTGCCAGCAGGCGAAGGTGGCTATCAGGGTGCCTTGGGCCTTTTGCTGACCTAACACTGGACTCGGTGCTGGTGCAAGCCAGCCTTGATGCATAGGTTGGTTCTTTGCACGCGTACCCAGGTACAGCAGAGGCAGCCAGAAACTATGGATCCCCTTGTAGCTCCAAACAGGTTGCCCAGGATCAGTCATAGGCAGTGTTTGATATTAACCTGCACCAGTCCCTCCCAAGAGGCCCCAGAACCAACACACCCAATGGCCAACTTCAGACAACAACACAGCAGGATCTGGATAGCTTTGCACGTGGCATAGCCAAAGTGAGATCTCTGCAGGCACCAGACCCTGCTGAGGCAAATTCTGCTTAGTGCGGTCAGCTCCTGCACAGCAACTAGTACACACTGAGCCTCACAGTCAAACAGCCTGAGACTCAAACCCATGCACCAAATGGGCCAATAGCAAACTCATGACTTAATTACAGTAGAATGGCTTACATAACCCCCTCAAAGGATATTCCTGGAACACTCAGTTCAGTTGATTAAGGAGACTACACCACTGGATCCCACAGGACACCTACTACATAAGACCAGCCTACCAAGGTTGGGAGACATAGGAAATATACCTAATACATAGAAAAAAAATATACAAATAGGCAGCCAAAATGGGTAGACAAAGGTCTTAAATGAAAGAACAGGATAAATCTCTAGGGGGGAAAAAGAGATAAATGAAATGTAGACAAGTAATTTATAAGATACAGAGTTTTTAAAAATGTTTATAAGGATGTTTGAGGAACTTAGTAAGAAGTACAAGGTGGAAAGGGACATCGAAATCGTAAAAAAAGATCCAGTCATAAATGAATACCATATTTGAGATGAAGAATACCCTAGAAGGAATAAACAGTAGGTTGGATGAAGCAGAGGATCGAATCAGTGATTTAGAAAACAAAGTAGTAGAAAGCAACCAAACAGAGCAGCAAAAAGGAAAAAAAAAAAAAAAAAGAAAAAGAAAAAGATATTTTTAATGTGCATAGTTTAAGGGACCTTTGGGACAGCATGAAGTTTAAATGTAAATGACTTAAGTGCTCCAATCAGAACCAGGTGTCCTCAAACTTTTTAAAGTGGGGGCCAGATCACGGTCCCTGAGAGAGCTGGAGGGCCGGACTGTATGAACTACTAATTCCTACTGTAACACCTCTGCTGCGCTCACTGCCCAAAAAACCTGGCGGGCCGGATCAGACTCCTCTGCGGGCTGCATGTGGCCCGAGGGCCGTAGTTTGAAGACCCCTGATACGGTAGCTGAATGGATAAGAAAACAAGACCCATATATATGCTGTGTACAAGAGACCCATCTCAAAGAGACCTCTTTAAAAATAAAGGGATATTCCTGGAAGGGATGGAAAAATATTTTTTGAGCAAATAAAAGTGAAAAAAATCTGGGGTAACAATACTTATATCTGACAAAATAGACTTAAAAACAAATCTTACATTAAGAGGCAAAGAACAACACTACATAATGATAAAGGGATCATTATCTAACAACAGTCTATAACTCTTTTAAACATCCAATATAGGAGCACCTAATTATATAAAGCAAATCTTGAACATAAAGCAAGAGAAGGACAGTCATACAGTCACAATATAGGATTTTAACATCCCATTTATCATTAAACATTAATATCAATGTTTTCCAGACAGAAAATCAAAAAGGAAACAGGGGTTTAAATGACACACTAGACCAGATGGATTTAATTGGTACCTTCAGAGCATTTCACCCCAAAGCAGCAGAATATACATTCTTTTCAAGTGCACATAGAACATTTTCTAGTGTAAACCACATGTGAGGACACAAAACAAGTGTCAATAAATTTAAAAAGGTTGAAATTTATAGCAAGTATCTTCTCTGACCATAATGGTATGAAACTAGAAATCAATCACAAGAAAAAAGCTAAAAAGCACACAAAGATGTGGAGGCTAAATAGCATATTACTAAACAATGAATCAGTTAACAATGAGATCAAGGGAGAAAATCAAAAGATACCTTGAAACAAGTGACAATGAGAACACAACAACCCCAAACCTATGTGACACAGTGAAAGCAATCCTAAGAGGGAAATTTATAGCATTATAGGCCTACCTCAAGAAATAAGATAAAGCTCAAATAAATGATCTAACCCCACAATCAAAAATATTATCATGTGAACAACAAGAAAAGCTCAGGGTACTATTAAGTGGAAGGAAGGAAATAATAAAGATCAGAGTGGAAATAAATGGTATAGAGACTAAAAAATATATAAAGGTCCATGAAACTAAGAGCTGGTTCTTTGAAAAGATAAACAATATTTACAGATTCTTAACCAGACTCATCAAGAAAAAAAGAGAGAGGACCCAAGTAAATAAAATCAGAAATGAAAGAGGATAAGTAACAGCTGACACCATAGGAATACAAAGGATTGTAAGAAAATATTACAAACAAGTATATGCCAACAAATTTAACGATCTGAATGAAATAGATAAATTTCTAGAAACTTAGTCATCTGAAACTGAATCAGGAAAAATAAAAAAAATCTGAATAGACCAATTACAACTAATGAAATGGAAATAGTAAACAGCTCCCAACAAACAAAAGTCATGGACAGAATAGCTTCACAGTTGAATTTTACTAAACATTCACTACCATCTTTCCCCAAAAATAAAACATCCTCTGAAAATAAGACCTAGCGCATGGAAAGATAAGACATCCCCTGAAAATAATACCTAGCGCAACTTTGGGAGAAAATAATATAAGACACTGTCTTATTTTTGAGGAAACAGGATAACACCTATCCTTCTCAAACTACCCCAAATATTTCAAAAGGAGGAAAGACTCCCAGCTCATTTTCTGAATCCAGCATTTTCCTAATTTCAAAACCAAATAAGGGAACTATAAGGAAAGAAAATTATAGGCTAGTATTTCTGGTTAACATAGATGCTAATATCCTCAACAAAATATCGGCAAACCAGATCCAGCAATACATTAAGAAGATCATCATCAAATGATATTTCTTCTGGGGATGCAAGGTTGGTACAACATGCACAAACCAATAAATGTGATACACCACATAAACAACATGAAGGATAAAAATCACATAGTCATATAAATAGATACAAAAAAAGCATTGAAAAAATCCAGCAACAATTTATGATAAAAACTCTCATCAAAGTGGGAATAGAGTGAATATAACTCAACATAATAAAGGCCATTTATAATAAATCTATAGCCAACATCATACTCAATGGACTGAAACTAAAAGCATTTCCCTTAAGATCTGAAACAAGAAAGGGATGTCTGCTTTCACCAATGTTATTCAACATGGTACTAGAAATCCTTGCCACAGCAGTCAGACAGTAAAAAGAATTAAAAGGCATCCAAATTGAAAAAGGAAATGTAAAGCTGTCGTTATTTGCAAATGACATGATACTGTGTACTGAGAACTCTATAGATAACACCAAAAAAAACTACTAGAACTGATAAATGAATTCAGTAAAGTAGCAGGATACAAAATAAATGCCTAGAAATCAGTTGCATTTTTATACACCAACAATTATCTATCAGAAAGAGAAACTAAGAAAACAATCCCATTTACAATTGCATAAAAAAAAAAAATACCTAGGAGTAAATTTAACCAAGGATGTGTAAAAGACCTGTGCTCAGAAAATTATAAAAAGATACAAATAGGCCGAAACCGGTTTGGCTCAGAGGATAGAGCGCCTGCTGTGGACTGAAAGGTCCCGGGTTCGATTCCAGTCAAGGGCATGTACGTTGGTTGTGGGCACATCCCCAGTAGGGGGTGTGCAAGAGGCAGTTGATGGATGATTCTCTCTCATCGATGTTTCTAACTCTATCCCTCTTTTCTTCCTCTCTGTAAAAAAATCAATAAAATATATTTTTTTTAAAGATACAAATAAGCTGAAATGTACACCATGTTCATGGATAGGAAAAATTAACATCATTAAAATGTCATACTACCTTTAATGCAATCTACAGAGTCAATGCAATTTTTATCAAGATACCAATAGTATATTTCATAGAACTAGGACAAATATTCCAATAATTTATATGAAATCACCAAAGACCTAAGTAAGCAATCTTGAGAAAGAAGAACAAAGTTGGAGAAAGCACACTATCGGATATCAAATTAGCATGGTACTGGCATAAGAACAGACATATAGATCATAGGAAAAGAGTAGAGCCCAGAAGTAAACCCACATCTTTATAGTCAATTAATATTTGACAACAGAAGAAAGAACATACACTGGGGTAAAGATAGTCTATTCAATAAATGGTGTTGGAAAAATTGAATAGATACATGCAAAAAAAATGAAACTAGGCCACCTTCTTACACCAAAACAAGAATAAATGCAAAATGGAGTAAAGACTTAAATGTAAGACTTGAAACCATAAAAGTCCTAGAAGAAAATACAGACATTTCTCATAGCAATATTTTTTGACATTTCTTCAGGCAAGGGAAACAAAAGATTAGGTAAACAAATGGGACTACTTCAAACTAAACCATTTAGTGCTGCAAAAGGAACCATTGACAAAATGAAAAGACAACCTACTGAATGGGAGAACATATTCATCAATGATACATCTGAGAAGGAACTAATTTCCAAAATTTATGAAGAACTCAGGTAACTCAACACTAAAAAAACAACCAGTCCAGTTAAACAATGGCCAAAGGATCAGAATAAACAATTCTCCAAAAAGGACATAAAGATGGCCAATAGACATATGAAAAGATGCTCAGCATCACTAATCCTCAGAGAGATGCAAATTAAAACCACCATGAGATGTGACCTCACTCCTGTCAGAACACAGTAAATCAACAAACAAATATTGTGTAAGATGTGGAGAAAAGGGAGCCCTTGTGGGAAAGCAGATTGGTGCAGCCACTATGGAAAGCAGTATGGAATTTTCTCCAAAATATGACAACTGGAACTGCCTTATGACCCAGTAGTTCCACTTCTGGGAATATATTGAAAGAAACCTGAAACACTGATTCGAAAGAATATGTGCCCCTATAATCAATGCATCGTTATTTACAGTAGTCAAGATTTGGAAGCAGCCCAAGTGCCCATCAGTAGATGAGTGGATAAAAAAAACTATGGTATATTTATACAAGGGAATACTACTTGGCCATTAAAACAGGAAGGAAATCTTACCTTTTGTAACAGCATGGATGGACCTGGAGAGCTTCACACTAAGTGGAATAAGCCAGTCAGAAAAAGACAAATACCATATGATCTCACTTATATGTGTTATCTAATGAACAAAACAAATAAACTAAATAGAAACAGATTCATAGAGAACAGACTGGCAGCTGTCAGAAGGGAAGGGGGTTGCAGGTCTGGGTGAAAAAGGTGAATTAAGCAAAAAAGAAACTCATAGACACAGACAACAGATGGTGATGAAAGAGAGAAAGGTGGGGTTCAGTGGTGATGGAGGAGACTTGACTTGGGTTGTTGAACACAATACAATATACAGATGATGTTGAGGATTGTATACCTGAAACTTACATAATTTTATTAACCAATGTCTCCCCAATATATTTAATTAAAACTTTTAAATTTTTCTTTGGTTTTGCTTTCTTTTCTTTTCCTCTAGGTATGCCATGAGACTAAAGACCCACTCAGGCCCCAATGCCACACCAGAGGATAAACAGCTGGCTGCGTTATGGTGAGTGCGTCATATCAGCTTACAACAGCCTGCCCTGCCTGTGTGTGGCCATTGGTAAACCAGGTGCTGAGAGGCACCATGTTTTTCTAGTGCCTCTGACATGCAAAACCAAACGCAAGTCCAATCGTGGCCAGGGAGAGCCCACCCATAGCTTGCTGCTATGCCAGCCATGAGGTGCCTACTCAGGTATTTTAGGGCCAAAACCAGTTTGGCTCAGTGGATAGAGTGTCAGCCTGTGGACTGAAAGGTCCCAGGTTCAATTCCGGTCAAGGCCTTGTACCTTGGTTGCAGGCACATCCTCACTAGGGGGTGTGCAAGAGGCAGCTGATCGATGCTTCTCTCTCATAGATGTTTCTAACTGTCTATCTCTCTTCCTCTCTGTAAAATATCAATAAAAAATATATTTAAAAAAAAGAAAGAAAGAAAATCAACATGTCCATTATGCTAGGGTAACTTTTCCTGTGTGTGTGTGTGTGTGTGTGTGTGTGTGTATGTGTTAAAACCAGGTAGGTTTGTGTTTCAATTATGTCAATGTGAATTGTGCCAAATGTAATTTCTCTTGTGTTTAACATTTGAGTTGCTATCAAAATAATTCATCTATCTCTTTACACATGGGATTAGTCTGAGTGAATGAAGATGACGCATTCAAGTCCTCAACACATTAAACTGAGGAGCAGCTCATTACACTTTGATAATAAAAGCTCTCCTTGTAAAATGTTAACCAACATTAATAGGCTTTTATATCTATAACGATCACACTAATAGTGAATATGTGATTATAATAGTAATTTCCCTGTGACATCTTCTCAGTACACCTCATCCCACGCCCCCAAATCACAAGATACCTCTCTCTTTGTTCCTTCTGGGGCAGGGATCCAAAATGTTTGTCCCCAAAGGTTTACTCCCCTGATCTGCAGTAGACAATTAAGCCTCAAAAATGAATAAATAACAGCAACATACACAAGAAAGAGGGCCTCACATAGTGCAGCATCATCATGTCATCTGGAGTTTGATGGGCTGAGAGGAGACCATTACTCATTTGGCATGCTGGTAATCTCCCAGGTCAGCACCACCCCTGGGTGAGCCAATAATTACGAGTGGAAAGCACCAAACAAGAGAGGGTATGTCTCAGGAAATGCTTTCTGCACTCTTTTCAAACTTTAAATTTCATATTAGGGCTAATAAAATAATGATGATTAATAATTGCCATTATATAAGGTTACTAATATGTAAATAATAAAATATATAAAATAAAATGTTAACTATTCTCAGCATAGTTGTTATTGTTTATGAAACCACGTATCTGTTCCTTTATTTGAACTCATTGTAATTGAGCGAAATAGTTTAAAGGTAAAGGAGTAAGTGCAGGTGGATGGTTATTCTTTCAGCGACAACCCTGGTGCGGGAAGTCCAGGGTGCTAGAGGGAAGTCAGTGAGGTCACTCAGCTCTGAAACTCCAGTAAGCAGTGAAAGCTGTGAAAGCTGTGAGCTGTGAGCGGCAGCTTGCTCTCTCCTCTGTGGAGAGACACTGTCCTCTAGTGGTGACAGAAGAAATGGCAGCCCCAAACCCCAACAAAGCAATAAAGCTTTTCTTAAATGATCTGATGGCAAATGCATTGATGGAGTAACCCCTTGAAATGTTGAAGTATTCCTTCTGAACAAAAGGAAGATCAGACACTTACAGAGACATGTATGTATTTATATTGTATATACAATTAGGATATAAATATTGAGTGCTTGAAATAAGATTTTTGAGCCCTAGCCGGTTTGGCTCAGTGGATAGAACCAAAGGGTCCCGGGTTCAACTCCAGTCAAGAACACATACCTTGGTCCCAGGCCACCACCCCCCACCCAGTGCCTGCGGGCCCTAGTCAGGGCTTATGCAGGAGGCAACCAATCAATGCATTTCTTTCACATCAATGTTCCTCTCTCTTTTCCTCTCTTCCACTCTCCCTAAAAATCAGTGGGAAAATGTCCTTGGGTAGGATTAACAGAACAAAAAAGAGGAGCTTTTTGAAAAGTCTTGTTCGCACAGGACACACTCGTACTTGCAGGCTCATCTCTCTTCTCCCCGCAGTTACCGATGCCTGGCCCTCCTGTACTGGCGGATGTTCCGACTCAAAAGGGATCATGCTGTCAAGTATTCAAAAGCACTTATCGACTATTTCAAGGTACTGTCTGGCTATCGGGGGGAATTGTTCCCCAAATTTAGTTGTCTTTCTATCAGAAACATTTGAAGACGGAATCCATTGCTTTGAGGAGAATGCAGGAACCTCTGACGCCTACACTGGCCCATTTGTCTGAACAGAGGACTTTGTTCCCTCGTGCTTTAACCGCCTGGTGGTCTGGAAGAGGCCTGAAGGCAGCTGCACAGTGGCCACATGCAAGGCCATTTCTGCCTTCTTGATAGCACCCCACTAGAGTCTAAAGCTCAGTCGCCACTTCATAAAGTTCTTTTTAGCCAAGGGAAATGCTTTTGTCTAGGGAACCAGGCCAAGGCTGTTTTCTTGTCTCTGGAGGGAAAATTCACATCAGCGTGTAGAGACTTCTTACCCTCTAGCAGGCTGTGGACGGAGGGAAACTCACCCCAGCGTCTAGAGGCCTCGTCCCTCTAACAGGCCGTGAATGGAGGTCCCAGAGGCATCGAAGGCTCTCGGGAGGGTCTGTCTGTACATTTAGGAACTTCCTCACCAAAAGCAGAATTTCTTGTCAATGCCCGATGCAAACAACTGGCTCGGGAAACATACCCTCCCCAGTCAGGATATTCAGAAAATCAGAATTTTTGAACTTCCCACCTGTCAAGGAAATATATTTTAATCTGTTTTTTTAGAAACATTCAAGAGGAACTTTCTTTAAGAGAAATACTTTTTTTTAAAATATATTTTATTGATTTTTTTACAGAGAGGAGGAGAGAGGGACAGAGAGCCAGAAAGGTCGATGAGAAAAACATCGACCAGCTGCCTCTTGCACACCCCCTACCGGGGATGTGCCTGCAACCAATGTACATGCCCTTGACCGGAATCAAGCCTGGAACCTTTCAGTCCGCAGACCGACGCTCTACCACTGAGCCAAACAGGTTTCGGCAAGAGGAATACTTTTAAGCCTTGCAAGTTAAAATATTTCTAGGCATTAAATGTATGCAGACATGCCCTACATTTCAACATGAGGTGTTCTCATAGGGTACAGGAGGCCAGCTCTTTTTTCTTTTTTCAGAAGAATTAAGCTAGTTTAAGGTGAAAAATTAAACTGGCTCAGGATTCAGCAGACCCTGGATTCTGATTCAGTTTGGCACATTGCATTTGGGGCATGAAGTCCCAGGCTGCAGAGAAGATCTTGCTTTCGCCCATTGCGGGCCAGGCAGCTCCCCACTGGGTTTCAGAGGGGGAGCCAGCAGCCTAGGATTTGTGACTTCCCGGGTTCATTTCTGGGAATCTGCATTTTATCTGCAGTGTCAGCCATTACTCCTCTCAGCCATCCCCTGAGAGCTTGCATCGTCAGCTCAGTAAACCTACGCAAATGGCTCACTGTCAATGTTTCTCTTTTCCTGCAGAATTCATCGAAAGCTGCCCAAGCCCCGTCGCCATGGGGGGGCGGTGGAAAGTAAGTTCATTTCCCCAAAGTAAAGGCGAGAAGCCAAATGCTGGGCAGGGTGCTGCTCTGCTTACGGTGCCCGGGGTTGCCCCGCCTCAGGGGGAGCCAGCCTCTCCACCTGCTTTTCTTGCTCTTCCCTTCCAGGAGCACTGGAACCCCATCGCCCATGTCCCCCAACCCCTCCCCCACCAGCTCCGTGGGATCTCAGGGGAGCCTCTCCAACACCAGCGCCCTGTCCCCTTCGACCATCGTCAGCATCCCACAGCGCATCCACCAGATGGCAGCCAATCACGTCAGCATCACCAACAGCATCCTCCACAGCTACGACTACTGGGAGATGGCAGACAACCTGGCCAAGGAAAACCGAGGTGTGTGCCTTTGGGGGGTGCATGGCTCCACCTCAGCTCAGGGAGACAGCCTGACCTTGGGCGTCATCACACATGTTGTCGTCATTGACCGAAGCAGAAATCCTAGAAGCTGTCACCTATGGCGTGAAACTTTCTGACCCCGCCCCTCACCTGGGCCTGAACCCACCTTTTCTTCATGGTGGAAGATTGCACATCCCATAGAATAAAAGGCTAATATGCAAGTTGTCCCCTTAACCTGGAGTTTGGCCAGGGGGCAGGGCCAGCTGGCCAATTGCCTGCAGCCCCTCCCCCAGCTGGCCCTGCCCCTATCAGGGTCGGCCCTGATCAGGGCGAGCCAGCCAGACACCCCCTCCCATCCTCCCCTGCATGAATTCATGCACTGGGCCTCCAGCAGAGATGATAAAGACGCAGTAATGTGCAGATACAGATCTGTAGATACAGATATAGATGTGCACACACGTGTTCTTTTTCCTGGAGTGAGCTCCTTGAAGGTAGACTCTGTCTTATCCAGCTTTGTATTCCTAAGACACGCACCGAGCCCAGAACACGGCAGAGGTCTGGAACACTGAATGAACTAATTAATGAGTGTGAATGTTACTGGCTTTTGAAGTGATAGCTGCTTACGACCAAAAAGGAAGTGTTTACATGAAGCAAAAAGTTCCATTTCTTTTTTAAGTGTTTTTTACTGATTATAAACGGAGTGCATGTTTATCGTGGCTAAATTTATAAAGTACAGAAAACTGTTGTAGAGGAAAAAAAGCTTTCTATATCATCAGTAATTGTACCACCAAGAAATAATTCCTGTTAACATCCTACTGAAGTTTCTTCTGGTCTCCTCGAAATATGTGTAATTTTTTTACCACAATAAGGTCATAGTATATCTACAGTGTTATGTCCTATTTTGATTTTTGTTGTTGTTGTTTAACAGTATATCAGGAATTGTCTCATGTTACTAACTAGTTCAAAAATACCCTTTATGCTGGTTCTATAATGTTGTCAGCACAGTGGTTGTATAACCACAAAGTAAGATTTCTTGGGCCATTCCCCTGGTATTGGACACTTAGGCTACTTCCAATTTTTCCACTATTACAAATAAGGTTGTGATAAATAGTTTCGCATAAGTCCTTTTCTATATTTTTTATTATTTTCATAGGAAGGAGTTATAGAAGTAGAATTCTGGGGTCAACAGGTACATTCTTTTATAGATCCAGTCATTGAATGCACATTTGGTGCCGTGACAGCATCAGCCTCTGAGGACAAGCCCGGGTGTCCACATGCGATGAGAAAGTTATAGCAGGGGTAGGCAGTGGGGCCGAGTTCACGAAACTGAGGAGAAATCCAGGTAGCTCCCAATGTGCAGCCCAAAGGTGCTGACCCTGACAATCCACTGGGAAGCCGGCATGGAGCAGGATTTTGAAAAACAAATAGTGGCTGAGTAGCAGAGATGGGGTGGGGAGGGTGTCCCAATAGACAACGCAGAAGGACAAATGTATAAAATGTCCGTGGCTGGTTCGGGACACCCTGCGCAGGACAGGCTCTTGCACTGCCAGTGGCCACTAGACGGCTCCTCCCGGAGGGCCCAGTGGCACAGGTCTAACAGGAAGTCAGTATTGTGTTTCTGACAGCTCCCCTCCTGGTTCTGCTCTGATCCCAGTCACCTGGACTTGGCGTCCCCCTCACCACTCCCTGGCCTCCAGCAGGCCCCCATTCAGCATGTATGCACATGAGCACCTTTGCAGACTTCTCCCAGGCACTCCTTTTGAAGGAGTGCTGTTCGGTGATCCAGCTGCGATGGCCTAGCAGCCCTGTGCATGTATCTGCCTCTCCCTGCCACTCGGCTGTGGTCTCTTGGTACGCTCCCTATCTACCCTGCTGCACCTGGCACAGGGCCTTGGCACATACTAAGTTTAATGGAAGGACCAGCCCAGAGAATGTCCAAGCACTGGGAGCTCTTTCAGAACCGCCTCTGATTTGCTGCCTGGAGCCTCCTCCATGGGACCCGTGTCAGTGCAGCGCATGCCACAGCTGGGTCAGGGGAGGGTGGGAAGGTTGCTGCTCCGGGAGAATGTCCTGAGGAAGTCAGGGTTTGGCTAAGTCCAGGAGGGGTGTGGGGACATCCGGCCCGCGGGCCCTGTAAGGCCCCCAAAATCCTTTGGTCTGGCACTGCCAAGGCATGAGGGGTGAGTTTATGAAATGCAGCAGGCTGTTTTTGTTTTTGTTTTTAATAAGTTTTTATTGTTCATATTATTACAAATGTCCCTTCCCCCCCCCCCCCAACCATTGCTCTCCTCCACCAGGTTCCCACCCCACCCTCTGCCCTTTCCCCACTCCCCATTGTCCTCATCCATAGGTGCACAGTCTCTTCCCACACCCCCCTCTCCCCTTTTTTCCAAGAATCGTCAGTTCACTCCCCTTCCATACCTCTGATTCTATTATATTCAACAGTTACTATCGTTCATCAGATTTTTTTTTAATTTCCTTGGTTTTTAGATTCACTTGTTGATAGTTACGTATTTGTTGTACATAATTTTTATCTTTGTTTACTTTCTCTTCTGAAAGAACCCCCTTCAGCAATTCATATAATTCTGATTTGGTGTTGATGAACTCCTTTAGCTTTTTTTTATTAGTGAAGCTCTTTATCTGACCTTCGATTCTGAGTGATAGCTTTGCTGGATAGATTATCTTTGGCTGTAGATTCTTACTATTCATCACCTTGAATATTTCTTGCCATTCCCTTCTGGCCTGCGTGGTTTCTGTTGAGAAGTCAGCTGACAATCGTATAGGTGCTCCTTTATAAGTAACTACCTTCTTTGCTCTTGCTTCTTTTAATATTCTCTCTTTGTCTTTTGCTCTTGAAATTTTAAGTATGATGTGTCTTGGTGTGGTCCTCTTTGGATTCCTTTTGTTTGGAGTTCTGTGCACTTCCTGGACTTGTAAGTCTAATTCTTTCACCAGGTGGGGGAAGTTTTCTGTCATATTTCTTTCAGTATGTTTTCGATATCTTGCTCTCTCTCATCTTCTGGGACCCCCATAATTCTGATGTTGATTCGCTTGAAGTTGTCCCAGAGGTTTCTTACATTATCTTCAATTTTCTGGATTCTCTTGCCTTCTAGCTTCTGTGGAGGAGTGTCTTCTGGCTCTTTATGTTCCAAATCTTTGACTTGATTCTTGCGATCTTCCCTTCTGTTTTTAGGACTCTCTAAAATATTTTTTATTTCAGACAATGTATTCTTTATTTCTTGTTGATCCCTTATCATTTCTTGATGACTCCTTATTAATTCTAGTTGATCTCTTTTCATATCCTCATAGGTCTTATCCATCTTTTCTAGGAAATTCTTGAAAAACCTTATAAGCGTAGATTTGAACTCTATATCCAGACGCTTTTTGTCCTCCATTTCTTTCGTTTGTAATCTATTTTGTTGTCGAATTTTGCAGTTACAGATGGGACGGGAGTTCAGGGTGGAGCCCAGCAGGCTGGTTTTTAAGTGGATAATTTTGTGTGGCCGGAGAATGATGGTGTAAATATCCAAACGGCCCTTGGCAAAACCAAGGTTCCCCTCACGGGGCTAAGTAAACATTGTTCACTGGAATTAGAAGTTGCCCACAGAATGACCATTGGATAAAAGTCTGAGCTCTGTGCCTTGGTGTTCCGCTCTGTTCAGTGGAACGCTGAGGCCGCACGATGGGCTGAGAAGCTTGCCTCTCTAGGACCACGAGTGGAGTTGCTCCTTAAGTCACGTGGGCCCCAGGGTCGCACACTAACCGCTCTGTCTGTCCCTTAGAATTCTTCAACGACCTGGACCTGCTCATGGGGCCGGTGACCCTGCACAGCAGCATGGAGCACCTGGTGCAGTACTCCCAGCAGGGCCTGCACTGGCTGCGGACCAGCGCCCACCTGCCGTAGGCCCGCGCCCGCGGCCGCTGTGCTCCCCTCCGAGGACGGCTCCACGTTCTGGACGCTGTGCTGCCGACACTCCCAGCCGCAGCGCTGATCAAACCCAGTGACTGTTTTCTCAGCATCAGACAGTGGTCTTTCCCAGGGCACGTGTGCCTGTATGTGTGGGTGCAGAAGCAGCAGCGTGTGTGTGTAAGATGCACAGCTCTTAAAACATACTTTCTTTGTCTAGTTTCCATAATCCCAGGCTAGACAAAGTGGTCAGAAGTTTCTGATTAGAGGAAATACACTTACACACACACACACACAATAACACACACACACACACACACACACACACACACACACACTCTTTCTACTTCAAAGCTAACCCTTGACTTTTTAGAACATTCAACCAAAACCTTGTGGTGAGTTCACCAGGTGCCGCGAAGCACACCAACAGCCTGACTGCCAGTGAAGAGGACCTCTCCTCACGGTGGACGACGTTCAGTGTTGATACACTATCCCCGCTCACCCTTCGGTTGTACGTGTCCATGGGTAGTTGAGTAATGAAAGTCAGTCATGTTTTGCTGGATGTTTACTAGGTTGCATGTTACCAAATGCCCTGCCTTTCATTTATTTGCTCCTCGCCCCTCCATCCAACTGCACCCTCAGCTGAATGCACTGTAAGCAGATGGACCGGTGCCCTGCCCCGGCGTGGTCTGGGTGGGCGCCGTGTTCGGTGGGAACTCGGTGCCTGGGGGGCGAGCCCGCCCATGCCGAGGGGAGCCAGGCAGGACCCGGTGTCTCCTGCACCTGCCACCCGCCCGCCCCGCAGGTGTCTCTTCTCCCCGCCTCGGTGGCCCGGGCCGGAGAGCCTGTTGGCACTGCCAGTCTTTTCAGCGTGGCGTTTTTAAGCATTTCCTTTTCACAATAGCTTTCTCACCAACGTCTTGGCCACATGAGGACGTTCCCCAGAGGGCGCCCCCCCTGGGAGTCTGTGTGCTGTCACCGGGCGGTGTGCGGTGCTCACGCCGGGCAGCAGGTGCCACGCGACTGCATTGTGAACGGGGCGCGTCGGCCCAGTCAGCGGGCTGCCCTCCGCGCGGGGCGGCTCCTGCTGCCTCCTCCCGCCTCGCCGCGGGGCTGTCGGGTGGCATGTCCTCTGCGCCAGGTATGTTTACGTCTTGCTCCCAACTCTTTTCTTTTTTTTCTTTTTTTTAAGTTTACATTTTAGTTTTTTGACACCTGTTTACATTTTTTGTCTGAAACTTGTTTATATTTTAGTCCCCTGTCATGCCCTAGATTTAGTCTTCTTATTAAACATGTTTGGTTATAAAATTATTGCTTGAAAAGAAAAACTGAACAAAAAAAAAAGGATGTGCTTTGCCATAACTTTCACAACAAAGACTATGGCTCTGAGGCCCCTCCCTGACCACACTGCACCGGACTGGTCTTTTCAACCCCCCCCCCCCTTTCTCCGCGGGGAGGGCGCCCAGCATCTATCACAGATTCGGACGGTGGAGTCGGTGGGGTCAGTCGGTTCGGTTCCGATGTTGACATTCCTGTCGTCCTGACAGGACAGAGGAGATGAGATGTAATTCCCTAGCTCCCAGCACTCTCTCAGGACTGCACAAATGACTGATCTGTGCGCGTGGTGGCCCGAAATTAACTTACAAAGAGCAAGTGAAGGAAGGGCTTTGCCATTGGCTTTTGGCTTTGGCCTTCAAGCATCTGCACTGTTCACAGAGTTTGTTTTACTTTCATCCAGCCCAGGGGTCTGTCACAGCCTGGGTAGAGTTCATGATCCCATTCATGTGGGAAGTTTCCGTCTAACTTAAGGAATTGTGAACTGATATATAGGTTTTTGTGGCTGCTGTTTGTATGTTCGGAGGACTGAGGCTTAGTTCCGCTTGCTCTCGCTGAATTCCGCCGAAATGTGCAAACTCGCACACAAGGGCTGGCCCTCAGGCGCGCCCCCAGGTGCTCTGCAGGCCTGTCCGTGTTAAAGCTGCAGGATGTGCGGTGTCCGTGGGGTGTGCTTCCCATGAGGCCCCATCTGAACACCCCGCGGCCTCTGTGTTTTCCCGGCGCTTCGAAGACCACGTTTCCCAGCAAACCCTGTCGTTGTGGGCGTGGCCTTTCGCTTCATCGTGGAGCCTGAGGGGCAGAGTGTGTTAGCCTGGACGAGATGATTATGGTGAGAAGCCAACTTCTTATTGGTGCATGTGAAAGTCATTCATAACTGTTCCTTTATTTGCTTTTGTTCAGAGTAGAGATATATTTTTTGCATTTTCTGATTATAAAGCAATACATGCTTCAGTGTAAAAATTCAGACAACATGGAAACGTAGAAACGTAGAAAGTAGTAAGTCCCATCCCAATCTCCCCTTACAGACAACCACTGCTCACAGCTTCATGTCTGTCCTTCTAGTGACGCTCCTGTGTCAACACGTGCTGTCCCTTTAGTTCGTCTCTCTGTTTGGAGACATATTTCCTTAGCAGTTCAGCACAAGTCACCTGACCTTACCCTTCCTGACCTGAACGGATGCCACCCTGTATCACAATGTTTCAGATGCATTCCTCCTCACCCCGTGGGGTTTGTGACTGCTCTCCGCAGATCAGACTTACGTGCAGAATTGTGCCCAGAAAGAGAGGTTTGGTTAAAACAGAGATTTCTGGAAACTTTCCCATGAGAAATGGAAACTCGGACCCGCTATCTAAAGAGGAATGTACTGGGAAAAATAATCTGAAAAGCTGACAAATTGTGTACTAGACAGAACGCATAGAACGCAATGCAACGAGACTTCCTGCACTAAAACTTATGCCGGTGTGTGCGACACTGATGCGTGTATTATATAACAGTGGTGTGTACATTTCTGACATCCCATGCATACGATACACAGTTTGTACAAACGCATACATTTAAAAATATATATGTACAATACAGCTACCATGAGACTGTAGTACGCCTGGAGGGTATGACTAGTGCCTAACATTGAGTGTAAGTCACTGCGTGTTCGCATCACCTTGGAAGTACGGTAATTGTTATAAAATTAATCAGTGCAACCAACATTATTTATGAATCACATCTTTGAAACTGTGCAGTAGTATATACATATATATTTTTAAACAACATTTTTCACAGTTTTCCAGAGTTACTGTTGAAATCTGTATCACCAAAAAAAAAGAAAAGAAAAAAAAAAGAAGCAAGATTTTTTTAACGATGTAGACACTCTTCAGACCCCGTAATCTGTGTGTGATTTCCTGTTTGTAGATACCCAAGAGACTTTAGCAGTCACCAGCCTTAATGCATGTACAGGATATTATTGTGACTTAATTTATCTGCAGTTTTTAATCCATGTGAAATTGGAATTTATAAACTGACTTGGATTAAATATGTCTGCCTTTCTAAGGTTGCAAATGTTACATTAAATGACTTACGTTGTAAATGAGAGAAATTGAGTTGTATGTAAAAAACACCCACCAGTTTCTGTGACTATTTTTATAAGAAAACATTAGATTCAGAATATGTTCCAGTAAGTATTCTGGTCCCCAGATCATAATCTCCTTAGAAGCGACCTTGTTTCGTGAGTTTGTTTTTTGTTTTTGTTTTTGTTTTCAGAGAGGAAGGAAGAGGGAAAGAGAAACATCAGTGATGAGAGAGAATCATTGATGGGCTGCCTTCTGCACACCCCCAACTGGGCATCGAACCCACAACCGGGCCATGTAGCCCTGACTGGAATTGAACCTGGGACCCTTCAGTCCTCAGGCCAATGTTCTATCCACTGAGCCAAACCAGCCAGGGCTCGTGAGGTTTTTTTTAACAGCTCCCACAGGTGATCCATACTCAGTCAGATTTTTTTTTTTTTTTTGAGCAAAAAAAGGGTAGTTTTTCTTCATTATACCTGCACATTGCTACTTGTCTCTCCCAGCCCACACACAAGCCTGCACACGCATGAGAGAGAACACACCCACATGTTTCAGAAAACACTGATTAGGAGTTGACTCTGATGACCGCATGGACACCTCCAGCCCCAAGACGCTGCCCTCTCAATATTCCTTCATGGCCAAGTTCATTCCCTGCCTTGTGCTCCAGGATTTTCCAGCTCAGACCAGCATGGTGAAATCATGACTGCAATATTTGGATGAGTAGAATAAAAGACTTCTGAATTAGCAAAGATGAAAGTATTAGACCAGTGTCCTGCCATGGTCTGTTCCCTGGTGCAGGAGACTTTTTTGTTCACCTCATTTTTCCTCTTCTCTCCCTCCTTTTCAGTCCCCGCTTCCCCAAACTAAACTAAACAAAGGCAGGAGCAGTAACAAACACACCGATGGCTTTACCTCACCCAGCCCACATCCTCAGATCCTGTACACCTTGTCCTGAAGCAGAACCTCGCTCGGTCACCATGGAGGCCGCCTCACTCCCATGCCAGCCAGGACGGGCGCTGGGCTATGCTTGCTCCAGGACCACCAACTCGCTACTCCCTCACACCCACAGTCTTTCTAGAACTTTCTTTCTCTTATGCGTTTTGCCCGCTGCTCTCTAAAGCCTGTTCCTATGAGAATCCTATCTTTTTTTTAAGTAACACCTTTTTATGAAACCTGGATCAACTGAAGTCTTGAAAAACTCTTTTCTTTCATGAAAGGAAAAAAGAAAAAAAACAACTACATGAACTGCATTCCCAACTCTTTGGAACCAGAGTTTTTTCTCTTTTTCAGTCTCAATATTACAGCTTCCTGCCAAACCGCACACGGAATGTTCAGATGTGAGGTTTGTGTTCTTTCTGTCTAAACGGAATTACTCTGCATTTGTCACCAGAGGGGCTCATTTGTTTCTTGGCGTGAGGAAAACCATAAAACTGTTCTCAAACCAATTCCCCCTGACCACGGGCTGGGCTTGCACTGTTTAATTGGCACTCCGAGGCTGCAGGGGTGAGTGTTGGGTCAGCTGCAAGGGGTGTAAGTCCACAGCTCTTACAGCAATGGGAGCTGCGGAGAGAATCCCCATGCGTTTCTTTAAAATCCTCTTGCAGCCTGTCTTAAACACACTGATCTCAGGGATGAATTCAAGGCACTAAATTGCAAGTCAACACAAGAATTAGCATCTGTCTTTAAGCATCAAGAAGCAATGATGAGCCCAGCTGTTGTAGCTCTGTGGGTGACCATCGACCTGTGAACTAGAGGTCACAGTCCCATTCCCGGTAAAAGCACATGCCCAGGTGTGAGCTCGATCCTAAAGGGGCAGTCGGACATCCCTCTCACAATCCAGGACTGCTGGTTCCCAACTGCTCGCCTGCCTGCCTTCCTGATTGCCCCTAACCGCTTCTGCCTACCAGCCTGATCACCCCCTAAGCACTCCCATGCCAGCCTCATTGATGTCAAACTGTTCCCCTGCCAGCCTGTTTTCCCCCAACTTCCCTCCTCTGCTGGCCTGGTCACCCCTAACTGCCCTCCCTTGCAGGCCTGGTGCCTCCCAACTGCCATCTTGTGTCCACATGGAGGCAGAATCTTTGACTACATGGGGGCAGCCATCTTGTGCGTTTGGAGTGATCATCAATCTGTATATTACTCTTTGATTAGACAGGATAGAGGCCTGGTGCACGGGTGTGGGCCAGCTGGTTTGTCCTGAAGGGTGTCCCGGATCAAGGTGGGGGTTCCCTTGGGGCGTGGGCCGGCCTGAGCGAGGGGCCTGTGGTGGTTTGCAGGCCAGCCATGCCCCCTGGCGACCCAAGCGGAGGCCCTGGTATCTGAGATATATTTACCTTCTACAACTGAAATTTTGTAGCCTTAAGCAGAGGCCTGGGCCGGCCAGGGTGTGTGGAAAGTTTTGCTTCCTCTGTTGCTGGGAGCAACCCTAGCCTGCTCTCTCCAGTTCCCTGGCTGCCACCATTTCTGTTTGGATTTGATTATCTTCTATAATTAAAACTTTGAAGCCTCGAATGGAGGCCTAGGCCGGCAAGAGCAGGCGGAAAGCTTGGCTTCTTCCATTGCCTGGGAAACCCAAGCCTCCCTCCTGCTCTCTGTGGCCATTACCATCTTGGTTGGGTTTATTTGCATACTCACTCTGATTGGCTGGTGGGTATGGCTGGTGGGTATGGCTTGTAGGTGTAGCGGAGTGATGGTTAATTTGCATATTATTCTTTTATTAGGTAGGATAGAAAGTCATAGGCACCCTTTATTATCCTACTACAGGCTTGATGCATGAAATTCATGCATAGGGGGGGTCCCTCGGCCCAGCCTGCACTCTCTCCAATCTGGGACCCCTCAAGGGATGCCCAATTGCCTGTTTAGGCCCAATCCCACCGGGCAGTTGGACATCCCTCTCACAATCCAGGATTGCTGGCTCCCAACCACTTGCCTACCTGCTTGCCTGCCTAATTGCCTCTAACTACTTCTGCCTGCCAGCCTGATCATCCCCTAACCACTCCCTGACAGTCTGATCAAGACCTAACTGCTCCCCTGCCAGCCCGATTCCCCCTAACTGCCCTCCCCTGCTGACCTGGTCATTCCTAACTTCCCTCCCCTGCTGGCCCAGTCATCCCTAATTTCCCTTCCTTACCAGCCTGGTCACCCCTAACTGACCTTCCCTGCCTTAATAATAAGATTATGTCTATGTATAATGTGAAAAGGGGGACCCACAGCACACTAACAACTCTTAGAGAAAGGGAGGCCTATTTTAACATGCAGATAAACTAGAATTAAGACCTGGGCCTCACATGGCCATGGGGTTGCCTCCCCACAAGGGGGCCACCTCTCATTTTCTATTTTGTCCCATGTCATATTGCTATGGCTGCTTTCCATGTGTTAGCTAGCTTGTATCTGTTTTTATCCCGGGACCATTTATTTTCCTGTGTGGTTTTGCTTTAGATTTGTCTCTCATATGTAGTTGTAGTCAGCATGTAGTTGGACTGTGGGTTTTACCCACTATGAGTATCTCCATGTTTTTACTAGGTGACTTTTATAGGGCCACATTCATTGTGATTTCTGCTATGTTTGGTTTTCCTGCCATTTTCCATGTATTTGTCACACTTTTTTTCTGTTTCATCGATTTAATCAACTTTTATTTATTATACCTTTTCCTCTGATGCATTTCTTTTAGTTGTTGCCCTTAGATTTTAATGCACAAACATAAACACATGCTTTTTGTCAATGCTAAAATTAATATCTATGTCCCCCAACAACAACAATAAAAATAAAATAATAAAATAAAATAAAAAACTTGGCAAACTGGGGTACCTCACCTTAGTCTCTCATATAGATATCATTTGGAAACTTTTAGTTCCAGACTGTACTCTTTAAAAATAATCAACATTTCGCCTAACCGGTTTGGCTCAGTAAATCGAGAGTCTGTGAACTGAAGGGTCCCAGGTTCAATTCCGGTCAAGGGCACGTACTTTGTTCTGGGCCCATCCCAGTAGGGAGTGTGTAGGAGGCAGCCAATCGATGTTTCTCTCTCATCGCCGTTTCTAACTCTCTATTCTCCCTTCTTCTCTATAAAAAATCAATAAAATTTATTTTTAAAAAATAATAAAAATAAAAATAATCAGCATTTTAACAAATGGGCCCTAGCTGATTTGGCTCAGTGCATAGAGTGTCGACCTGCAGACTGAAGGTCCTGGGTTCGATTCTGATCATGGGCACTGTGGTTGCAGGTTCCTTCCTGGCAACCAATGGATGTGTTTCTTTCACTTTGATAGGCTCTCTGTCTGTCCCTCTCTCTTCCACTCTCTCTAGAAATCAATTTAAAAATATCCCCAGGTAAAGATTTTAAAATAATAATAAATGAATAATTTTAAATGGTACCAGGACAAATAGATATCCAAGTGCAAAAGAATGAATTTTGACCCCTATCTCACACCATATACAAAAATGGATCAAAGATCTAAATGTAAGAGCTCCAAGTATAAAACTGTTAGAAGAAAAGGTAGCTATAAATCTCTGTGACCTTGAATCAGGGACTGGCTTCTTAAATGTGACACCTAAAGCACAACCAAAAGGAAAAAAGGTAAGTTGAAATCACTACATTAACAGCTTTTCTATTCCAAAGGACATCATTTACAAAGTAAAAGACAACCCAGGGAAAATATTTGCAAGTCATATATCTGTTATGGGTCTGGTGTCCGGAATATATAAACAACTCTTATAACTCAACCACAAAAAAAGGCAAATGACCTAATTTTTAAATGGGCAAATAATTTGAATAGAGATTTCTCCTGAGAGTATATAAAAATTGTCAATAAGCACTTGAAATGATCAGCAATATTGGTCATTAGGGAAATGCATATCAAAGTCACATGAGTTCCTACTTTCCTTTCAGTAGAATGGATATAATAAAAAAGGCAGACAATAACAAACATTGATGAAAATGAGCAAAAATTGGAACCCTCATATATAGCTGTTGGAAATATAAAATGTAGCCACTATGGAAAACAGTTTGGCAATTTTACAA